CAAATATATACACATGTATATGTGTATATATATATAAAATTGGATTAGCATTAACATTTCTTGATAATGGAGTTTTAGAAAACATAAATAATGTTAAAGTAATTTGTCTTACTTTATGCATTACCCTATAAATTATGTATAGCTAATTATGTGTATGCTTTGAATATTCGTTTTAATTATCGCTACGGATTATATGTAAAAAAATTTGAAAGTTGATTCCTCTCTATACATTATCTTTACTAAATGTATGGAATTTAATGTAAGAAATGCTAAACTGTTGGTATATTATATACCTGTATAATATAAAGTGAGAAATAGACTCACCAATACCTTGGATCGTAATGATCGCTTGTTCTGTCAAAAATAATAAATTATAGAGTTATGTAAAACAATTATTTTGTAAAATCAAATGCACAAAATGGAACATTTTAAGCTTCACGTAAGAAGAACTGGTATAGCGAAAGTTTTTATGCTGGCTGTAATTAAAAAGTAAAGTATATAATGATTTCAAATTAATATGTTTCAAATGGTCCAGGGTAAGGGTGACACTGGGATAAAATTGTGATTGGAATGTATGGAAAAAAGGTATATTAGAACTGTTCTTTTTTAATAAGCTCGTCACAAAATCGTGGCTGATAAACTTACGTTAACTCATTCATCAGAATAAACTGTGATTAGATTGAAGTCCAACAGAAATACAATGTATAATGTACTCCGTTTCATAGGCTGCAGGCCTAGAAAGTCTGATTTTTTAACTACTATGAAAACTTGTGTATTATAATATGATCTATGACGTTTGTTTATTACTATGTAAAGTGACAAATTTCAAAATTAAACATTAATTACTGTTATTGGTTTTACTTTTACTTTAAAATCTCACATTACATGTATTTTTATTCGTTAAATATTGTATAGATGCAGTTTAGACGAAATATGGCCTAGTGTTGTGAATAAAATAGAGAAAATTAAGGTATTCCAGTAAATACGGTGGTAACCATTTCTGCATGTAATTTTATTCAGGGCATAAGGAAACTGCCACTATCTTTGTAACAAGAGACTGACAGTATCTTTACACAAAATGCAGATTCGATTAAAATTATGAAATCTCTAAGTATTGTTTCACAAAAGACAACAATTATTTGCATACACAAAGCTGAAATTGAAGGCTTTGTATGTCATAAGAAATAAAATTATATTATACATATATTATTTATTGATCAAATAATTGAGATACATCAAATATTATTGTACTAGAATATTATTTCAAAATTAAGTGAATAGTAGTTACATGCTCTGAAAATTCCAAAATATATGTTTTACTTGATGTATTACTGAATGTGAGAAAATTGCAAGAGATATGTTTAATTCATTGTTAATATTTAACGATGTACAATCATACTGCGTAATCACTTAAAATTTTATTGTCTTCCCTTATTATCTTATATTAATATTTCGTATTATTAATAGAAATTAACGTCAATTACATTAGGTTTCTGTTTTCATTATTTAAGATATGTTTGTAGTAGAACATAGAATATAACAACAGAAACGTATAATTTTGTCTAAGTATATAATTCCTGATATGTAAAAATTATCTATATATTTTGTAGTATTTATTCCTTTGTGTTATTTACACAAGATTCTGTTATGTAAGATTGTGCAACTGTTTAATAAGAATAAGTGGATTGTACTTTTTCTAGAATAAGTTTGATCAAAATATGAATAATCGATAAACTTTGATTATCTTAGATATTTTTATTATTTTGTAAAATATGAGAAGACTTTATTCACAAAAATTGTACGAGTAATACATAATATATTTATAATAATTTGTTTGTAAATGAAGGATTTTTGAAGATTTTGAAATCATATCTATTTTAAAAATTACATGTTATATAACGAAAATATAATCAAATAAAAGAATAAATTAATCTTATGTTATGAGAAATATTGGAAATGATGTTTGTTTGCATCAACATGGTGGAATTATTAAATTACAAAACTCATTTAATTATACCACGTGTTGCAATTTTTTTTTTATAGCTGAGGATTGAATATAATATGTGCTATACATAAATATATTTAACATAAAAAAAAATGATAAAAAATGTAAATAATAAATAACATTAAGTATTATAATTAATTTGAAAATTATGACAAGCGTATGATCTTTAACAATTCAACGACTCTACTATTAATATAAAAGAATATCATTTTTAGACGTAAGACTTTTCTGTTTTTCATTTATTCTCAAATTTTCAAAATTACTTGAATTTCTCTATTTTTCTAAATATAAAATAGTATACTATGCTGTTGAAAAAAATAAAAGTGACTTTGAAATCTTTGAAAGTTCTCTTAAAACAAAAATTATTATTGGTATATTATGGCTTTCTTAATATCATATAATTTTTGTATGATATTTTCTCATATTTTTCAAAATAATGGAAATACTTTTAGATATTCAAAGTTATTAAATTGTCTTGTATACTAAAACTAATTATTTACAGAGATCAAAGTTAGAAGATACAATTATTTTGTTTCTCAAACGATAATGTATTTAAGAAACAGAAAGTAATTTAAATTATATACATCGTGTTGGATATATTACATTAAAACATTTCAAGTTGAAATTTTTAAATAATAATAATACTGCATTTTTTTATCGCATGTTTATGACATTGATAACTTTTCTAATGATTTCAAATAAAGTGTACAAAAACAATAACATGATAATACGACGAAAATTTCCTTAAAATATTTGTAACTACTATAATGACCATTTTTGCAGATGACTATAAAAGACGTTACGATTAAATATAAATGGAATAAAATAACCAAAAAAAAATGACATTAAACATTTAGTGTCTGGAATACTATCAATGTATGAGAGTACATCATGATATACATATTAAAATAATATTAAAAATAACAAACAAATACTTTATTACGTACAATTTATAAATATAATTTGGTAAAAACATTCCTAAACAAAATCTACATTTGTTAGTACTTTGCGCATAAAATATTATGTATGATGATAAAATTATAACTTGTAAATAAGATTTGTTTATTATACTGGGCACTGGACTACAATGTCTAAAGTAATTAAATTAATAAATTTTTCAGAAAGTACATGCAGAAATTTTGTCCTAATGTATTTTTATTCGTATATTATAAATATTTCATTCTTTATATATATATGATACCACTTGCATAACGAGGAAGTCTATGCGAAATTTTTACAATTGATGTGCATTTACATATACATATATAAACTGAATATGAAGCCATGCTATGTTAATAAATCAAATTGTTTAAGTTTAAACAGAAGATATTACAATAAATGTAATTTATTGTGCTCAACTGGAAAAAATTAATTGAAATATATCATATCACAAATCATGTTAAATAAAAATTGATCGCAACGATCAAGTTAGTGCAAATATTAGAATATAGCGATATGAAATCTAAATAGCGATTCTTAAACATCTGAATACTTAGTCATTCTTTCTGATATGCTTTATACAATTTCAGATAACAAGTATACACATGCAATACTTTCAATAAAATCTATGCACACAACAAAACTTATTTTTCAAGTAGAAAATTTAGATGATAACAAATTGTGTTAAATATCATATGAATTAAAGAATTTTACATATGTGCAATATATTTTATCGTAACGAAATTAATTTATACATTTGGGTCCAAATCATTTATAAAATTATTTATAAAAATATACGCGATATAATTTAAATACTTTGTTGATAATAACATTGGTCGTTTGATTAAACGAATAAACCTTAATTGAACAATTCAAATTTAATTTAAAACAATGTAAAGATTAAACAATTTTCAACTGTTCAAGAACAATATTAAAAGATAATGCGATGATACTTTTGTTGATCTGTATCTGCCAACTATAAATTTATTATGTGTAATTAAGAAACTGATATTTTTTTATTACTGTCAAACTGTAAAAAAATGAGAAATGTTCTTAATTACATTCTTAATTACACCGTTACTCCTGTAATACTTGTAATATGTACGTCCTAATACCATCAGTTATATTGCGGACGAACTCGTTGTACGTTCAGTGCCTTTTTACATATTTGTATGTATGTAAAAATCAATAATTGATCCTTTTGTATTTATCAATATCTTCCAATTTCCACGTGAAGGAGTTCGCACGAAATACGAAATGATCTCTGATATTCTCTACCATTTGAAATAGAGGATGATATAAAAGAAATGTGAATCTTAATTGAATGCTGGCTTATTATATGTAAATATAGAATAAGCCAAATTTGAATTGAGTATTTACGTATACATACATACTTACAATACATATAATTTAGCATTAGTGTGCTTGATTTAAAGTGCATAATTTTTAAAAGTATATGTATATTTTTATAAATTTCGGTATTGATACGATGGTTTGCTATATAAGTAGATAAATATATATATATATATATATATAAAATATAAATGTATATATACAAAAATGTATAGAAGATATATGTAAGAATATATGATTGTATGACGATCTATGAGAAATGGTATACACATACGCATATAATTGTATCTTATAAAAAAAGTATGGGAAAAAAACAGGAAGTTAGTTACTTAGAACCTACATTAGCTTTAAATATTATCTCGTGGGGCAATGTATAAAACAAAATTCAATTACACATACAATTTTGTGTTTGACGTGTGAAATTTTCAATATATGTGTCTGTAATCATATATTTGTATATGTATATAACAATATATGTATATAACAGATTTCTTTGTTGCGTCCATCATGTGTTTAGAAATTACTTTGTACATAATATAAATAAACAATAAAAATGAATAAATAAATAAATATATCAAACTTTCAAAAGTAAACGCTGTGTGTATGTATGTGTGTGACTCCATTAAACATATGCATATTTAATAGTAATGCATATGAATTATATAATAGTAATGCATTTAATTATTTTCTCATTAAAGTTTCTATTATTTTTTAATAAATTAATTTTATATATTTATCATTAAATTTGTGAATAAGTGATAAAAATGAAACGATTTTTTTCAGAAAACGATAAATTTTAATATTATGAAATTTACATCATTTATAAATTCGTAAAATATATAAAAAATTATTTAAAGAATTACTGAAATTTCTAAATTAAACACTGCAAATATTTAAAGGGTTACTGGCATTTCTAAATTAAATAAGTTGCTTTTTATTTTGATCTTTTATTAAATTGTAAAAATGACAAATTATTTAGAAAGTACTAATAATTTTGTCGTTTATATAAATTTGTTTCCAAAAACTTTAAGTTTCCAAGAGCTTTAAGTAAAATTTTAAGTAGAATTTTCAGTAATGTAACTGATACTTATATTTAATAGTTAAATAAAATGAATATAAAATTAAATCAGATTGAAGGGAATCGGACCGATAACTATCGTGGTTCAAATAATCTTTATTTTAAAAATATAAAGTGATATTGCAAACATACATTTATATGATTATTATTAATGTAAATAATTATTTAACAATCTTTATTTATTAAATAATTGAACAAATCTAATGTACGCTATATTTTTTATAATTTAAAGTGCATAAACATAACCTATAACAATAAATGATACGCTTGACTAATAATATAAATGTTACTTGTTATAATAAAAAAGACAATGTATAAATGTTATTGACAATATGGTGAAATAATTTATAATTATAATTTTAAGAATATTGATTATATTGTATAATAAAATATCCAAAACAAATTATGATGCTTTGTGCTATAGACTTTGTTTAAGAATGATTGGTTTGTGTTAAATAGATTCCAGAATGAAATATTCCACCTCACCACCAGTAAGTAGATGTAATTCACCAGGTCCAATTGAAACAGGATCAAATTTACCTATGCCAGTAACTTACAGGTAATAAAATTATACTTTCAGTTATAGTAAAAGTTTAATCACAAAATATTTATATAAATGTGTTTTAGACAAGATTGTATGGGAGCAGCAACAAAATGTTACAAATATCTAAGGAAATTATTAAAATTTGAACAAATGGACTTTGAATTTGCTTTGTGGCAAATGATCTTTCTGTTTATATCACCACAGAAAGTATATAGAAATTTTCAAAGTAGAAAACGTAAGTTGCTTTATATTTTTAAAATATCATAATATATTATTATTATGATAAATAAAATGTTTTTTAGAAACAAAATCACAATTTGCAAGAGATGATCCTGCATTTTTGGTACTATTGATGTGTTGTCTGTGTATATCTTCCATTGGTTTTACAATTGTTTTGGGATTAGGATTTCTTCAATTTGTAAAGCTACTATTTTATATGATATTTATTGATTATCTCGTAGCTGGTCTAATAGTAGCAACAGTATTTTGGTAAATTATTATTTTTTTTGAAAATATACATTATATGTTAAAAATTACATACATATGTTTATTTATTTATTTATTTATGCCATATATGTATATAAAACATTATAAAACAAATGAGTTCTATTAATTTCAGGATTATAACAAATCGTTATTTAAGGATTGATAAAACTCAGGATGTAGAATGGGGCTATGCATTTGATATACATTTAAATGCATTTTTTCCACCTTTAATTATACTTCACATTGTACAGTTATTTTTCTATAATGGTAAGATTCTATTTGATATTATCTTATCAAAATTATTAATATTTCTCTTTTTGTATTGTTCTAGGTTTTATAAATTATGATACATTTTCATCACGATTTGTTGGAAATACAATCTGGTTAATAGCTGTTAGTTACTATATTTATATAACATTTTTGGGTTATACAAGTAAGTATATAAATTTAGTATTATATATATTTTATATTATATCATTTTAATTTTCATTAGTCAAGCAATTAATTTTTACAAAATTAAAAATAAAGATTTAATTATTATAATTTGTAATTAAATGTTAATAAATTTTTCACATTTATTTTAGGCATGGAAATACTTCACAAGACACATATAATATTATCAACATTACCAATAATATTACTAATATATATTATGACATTATGCGCAGGTATTAATATTAGTCATTTAGTTATGGAAATCTATCATTATCGGGTTGTTTAAATAAAATTTATCGTTTTACTACTTTATTTCAAATTCAATCTTTAATACATACTCTTATATATAAAAATTGAATGAATATAACAATGGAAATATTTATAATTAGGAAAAATTATTGATATGTTGAATAAAAAGATCGGGGTATTTATTTTTTCTTTAAAACAAAATAAAAAAGATATATTAATATATTTCGTTATAAAATTCTTTTTAATAATTATACATTTAAATTAAATATAACATATCATTTATAATAGTCACAAAATTAACAAAGCTATTTGTATTTAATTTTCTATAAATGCAAAAAATGTTTGTACATTATTAATTAAAAATGTTATTTCTTCTTATTTATACTTTTCACTTAAGAGATAATCTCGACAAGTCATTATATTGTATGAATTATTTATATAAATACTGTATATAAAATTTTTATATTGTCAAATAGTTTTTAAAATACTTCATTTGAAAAAATTCTTGTATTTATTATATGTGAAATAAATAATGTAAAGATATTTTCTTTTGATATGAATATTTTTGATCCTTTGATTATTTACAGATAGCTATTCACGACTGCATATTATTTGTAGTCAATCAAGCGGCATATATTGATAGATACATTTATAAATTATTTATAAAAATAATCAAAATATAAGGATTAACAATCAAAAAGTTAAAAATTTTAAGGGATAAAGAATTGTTGTAATTTTCGTTTGTTATTTATAAAAGTTTAGGTTGTTGTTTTAAAGCTGAAATGTCTAAAATTTTATTGGGACAAGTTCGCGGTGTTTGATTAAATGGAAAATGTTTTGGACTATTTCTTGGATTTGTAACTTTTAACTCCACCTTTGGAGACATTTCATTTTGCAATGTATTAATATCTGTAAAATAAAACAATTGTTTATTTCTTAATGCCAATTCATTAATTTAATTTAATTAAAAATATTTTATATATGTACTAATTAAAGATTGATTTATCTTAAATTTTACCTTCTATTTGAATATTATTTTTTCCTGGAACTAACTGATATCTTTCTAAATAACGCATTGTGGCAAAAGACATGTTTGTTCCTTGCAAATTGCTAACCATGAGATGTTTGACAGATGCACCTTGCCTTTGTACTGCTAATTCTGCAAGTTGTTCATTACTTAGGTACTTTAAAGCTAATGCTTTCATATGCATACTTGTATTTGTTTCATTTACAGCACTTGTAGTTTGTGTCATGTTTGTTTGATAATCCAAACGTGGATAATATGATGAATCAAATGTCATCCTATTAAATTATTAAAAATTATTTATTATGGAAGATATGACAATATTATATTAATTATATTAATATGTATTCTAATTTAATTATATAATACCTATGTTAATCATTTGAATGTATATGTAAAAAAAAATATATATATAGTAAAATCTATATTAAATCACGCAGTTGTATAAAAA